TACACTCATCTCCAGGCCAGCGGTCACTCTTTCAAGGATGAAGATGTTCACATCCTGGATAAAGAGGAACAATGGTTTGAGAGAGGAGTAAAGGAGGCCATCTTTGTGAAAAGAAACCGTCCATAATTAAACAGGGGTGGAGGCCTCCGGGTTCAACTGTCCCCCTCTTACGATGCTGTGATTGCTAGTATCACTCAGCCCTCTGTGAACAGTAAACAGCCATCAGTGTGCTAATGATCCATTGTTAGGCTGATGGTCCTTCTTGACCATGTGATCAGCTGGTTTTGGTTGTCAGCAGCAAAACTGGTTGATCCTCTCTGAGAAGGTGCTATTTAAGAGACTGAGCTGAGTGCAGCACCTCAGACTGAGGAAGTCTCTCGGATGAGAGACAAAACGTTTCTACATTTTTTTGCTTTGTTTTTTTTTTTTGAATGTCCAGAGGACCAGATTGAACTTTTTTGGATTTTTCTACCTGGATTATTGAGCATGCATCAGGAACTCTTTTTCTAAATTTTTTTGTATAGCTCCGTGACAGCAACTTGGATAAATTGTGTGTGCGAGGGCATTCTGTACCACGTATCCATTGTGTTTAAAGCTGTAAACCCAGGCTTGGTCACTACATTAACTGGCGTCATGTCTTTCACTATGAACTTCGTTAGTGCTCGAGTTATTTCCGTGTGCCGTTTCAAATTATGTTCATACGGTGTAATGCCTTCGAACAGTTGGGTCAGTGATCCCTGTCGGATGGTAGTTTGCTTAATTGAAGTTGTAGCACTGCTCATTGACGTTCTAGCCATGTAACTATTGTAAATGGCTTTGTGGGTTTTTTTAAGTGTTGATAAAGATGTGTGGTGTTACCTCGAAAGGTAGCAACAGCATCAAGGCAGGTTCTGCACAATACATGTCGTTGTGCAGCGTCTTCTTTTTTACAGCCAAGATAATCCAAACAACGGACGTGCTGCCGCTCTTTGGTACCAAACTTTCAGATGTATCAGCTTCTGTCGAGCCTGACGCCATTGTACAACCGGTTAAAGAGCAGTGTTGACTTCTCCCGCTCTCTGCTCTGCTTTGCTCCACTCACTCGCAAGTCACGTAACCAGATCACGTGACCAATCAAATTGCAGCATTTGTAATTAGAAAATCTTGTTTTATCATATTGCAATATTATTGCAAATGCAATTAATTGTTCAGCCCTACTTCCTTTCATTTCAATGATCAAACCTCATGACTTCCACTTTAGATCTCCCCTCTCATCCCCCCCCCCCAGTTGTTAAGACTTATTCTGATTGTTTTGATGCGTA